ACCCTGTTTGCCTGTAGCACCTTCAGGTAGTCATATTAGTTGGGCAATGAAGCAGAGCAGCTGTAGAAGCACAGGGAGGCAGGTTTGGGCATCCAGATCCTCTGTGATGGTGTACACAGTGACCTGGATGCACACAGGTGCACACACATACAAACACACATATCACAATGCTGCCCACCTCTTTGAAAACCTGTGTCTTTACTAAAGATTCCTATAAATGTTTAAAATCTTGAAGAGCAGAGGCAAAACTAAAGAATAGAGGCTGAGGGACTCCCTGGTGGCACAACGGGTTAAGCACCACACTATGAAGCAATCCACAGCCTCTGTTACACGAGTTTGATCCCCAGCTGGCCAGGGAGCAACCCACATGGCGAAGCGGACCTCTCCTGACTCGCCCGCTGCTCTCCTCAGCAGTGTATTTCAGTCAGTCTGCCTGTTCTGCTCCCCACTCTGGTGAATCCTCTCTCTCTCTCTCTCTCTCTCTCTCTCTCTCTCACACACACACACACACACACACACACACACACCCGCATCACTGGCCTGTATCCCAGCTCTTGTATACCTAAATAAATAAATCTTTTTTAAAAAAAGAGACTAAAGGTGAACACCAAAAATCAAAAAGAATCATATAGACATGGCGTTTGTAGTGTTTTATCATTTCCAATCACATCTACATTTATGTCTTCTAAACTCAGTAAAATCACTAGAAAAGAAATGGTTACCCCCCAGTCTACTAAGGAGGCAGAGGAAGCTCATTGTTGGTCAAATGATTGATTCAGTGTCCTCAGGATGTTGGGGGTTGGAACTAGAACCTGAAACTTTCAGGTGAGAATAGAAAAGCTCTTAAGGAGGATGGCAAGGACTGTAATCTTTAGACATTTTATGCGTAAAAAGAAAGGTAGTAATAGTCTGTAAGGATTCTTGGGGAACCCTGGGTCAACCCTCAAGCCTTCTGAATGGACTTTGCAGAGGTCGTTCTTACGGAAATCTCATTATATTATAATCTTCTGTTATAATTATCTCATTCATCTTATATGACAGTTGCAATTTCTGTAATTCCTGACCATGAGGGACACTTTCCATTATGAATTCAGCTCAGTGTAAAGACCACCCACTAGGCCTCCTGAGCGAGAAGATTGTGAAGAGCCCCTCGGCTCTCAGACTTTGGAAAACGTTCATAACACCTGCCACTTGACGATCTCGTGGGGTGTTTGCTTAGCACACTTGGAGCCCCTGGGTAGAAATCTTTCTGAGGATATTGTGAGCATTAATGTTGCTGATCAATGCCCTCAGGCCTATTCCTTCAGGACCTATCACTGTTGGTGCTGCTGGGAGGAAGTGGTGCCATTCTCCCAGCCCTGCCCTGCACACATGTGCTCACACTGCACATCATCCTGCTTTGTCTCCCTGCACCATTCGCTCCCTGCACACCAAATCGCTGCAGTAACTACTAAGCATCACATGTCCACCTCCCCTTCTACTAGCATCTCCCTCTTACCAGTGGGCCTCAAGAGAAAAATTACTGGGTTCTCAACAGAGCACCCTAGAGTTCCCAGGGGTGATTCGGGCTCAGCACCCCTCCTCAAATGGCTCCAGGAGCACTGGGACATGGGGGTGTCACACCACCAGCACCTGCAGAGTACCAAGTGGGAGACAGCAGCAGATTTTCCATGAAGGTTCCCCTGTCCCCCTCCTTCATGTTTCATCCCCAGTCAAGGGCAAACTCAGCACTCCAGGGAAATAGGACTTTTGCACACACTCACTGTGGTCACATTCAGTGTATTCTGCTTGGGCAGAAAGATGGGAAAGAAGCCGCCTCTGGATTGCAAGCGAGGTCAGATGAAAAAGAAGCATATCCAGCTTCTTAATATTATGTGGCAGAGCACAGTTCCGATAGGAAGGTCCCAGAAAACTAGTAACTCCTCAGCTTCAGCATTCAAAATGCAGTGGGAATGGTGTGATGTGGGCAGAACTGCAGCTCTAGGCCTCGGAAGTAGAGTGTTACAGTAAAACCTCCTGAGAGAGCCAGGGATAGAGGGAAAGTATTCAAAATAGGAGACGCTAGGGAAATAGGCAGAGACTGCAAGGTAGGGAAGTATTGCCTTAACAACTCGGAATGTGTCTCACCCTACCCACCCCCCCACCATTTTCTAGATTGTTCCTACACACCCTTTAGATCTCTGTACTGAACTCCTCTGAGGACAACTAGGTGATTCTTAAACTCACTAAATTTAAATGGCAAAGGCAAGAGGTAATAACAGCTCTTTTCCATCAGATCATACAAATGTGCTATGTCTGCGCCACTTCATTCTTTTCCCTTGTACTCACCACATTTGAATCTCACTATTTTTAATATCTTCACTGGGAAATGGTTAAGGTCAGAAAAGGTACAAGTTCACCCCAGTTAGAGGTGTTAGCTCCCACTGACTTTGAGAACAAATATGATGAGAGAGAACCTGGATGCATCAGGTTAGACACTAAATAGTGCGTTTTCAGTAGTTTTACTTGGAATAATCATTTATTATTAATGTTCATCACGAGATTAGTGTCCAACAGTTTCTCCTGAAAAATACATAATAGACTGTGTAAAATAAAAAAAGGAAAAACCTCCCCCCATGTTTCCCACCTCTGCTCTGCAACCCCTACATCCCCCAAACCCCAGGTATAGATATTTTCATTTAGCAAATGAGTTGAACAACAGACCAAAAGCACCTGAAAGAATTTCTTGCTGATGGTTGGCTTTGAGTTGCCCATTAGGTAAACCTCTCCATGGATGTTAAATATTAGCCCACTGTTGACCATTAGCTGCAACACGGGTGTGACTGTTTGACAGAGTGCATGCGCTGCAGCACACTAGCTGGGACACATGAGAGCGTGTTCAGGAAGTTGCTTGGTGGGAATGGAAATGAACATGGTGAGAGTAGAAATGATCCATTGTGGAAACCTGGACAGTGTTTCTGTTAAATCATTTGTACGCTGTTAAATGATTTACGTTCTGATGGGACCTGGTAATCCCACAACTGCAATTCCAGGCATTCCTGCACATCCCAGCACTGACAGTCTGTATCAATTACCGTGGCCATAAAGCACTTTGAGCTGGTTAAGTATGAAGAATTATTGTCCCCGATTCTTCCATTTGTTCTTGTTAGTTCTTTCAGTCCACGCTTCCAAGGTGTGTAGCAGATATTATTATCCATCTTTGAAATTCCTAAGCCTGAAAGAGAGCCCAAATGACTTTCCTTTCTCAAAAGATGTAGGCTTGCTCCAATGCATTGTTTTCAATGAATGAGGTCAATTCTGGACCACAAAAAATAATTCGAAAATCCATGAATCAAAATTCAGTTTATAACTCAAGTGAAAAGTCACTCTGTCTTAGCTAACTTCGATGACAGATGTGGTTCTGAGAATTAAGCCCTTCCTTATTGAGTTGGGGGAATGCATGCCCGCAGGGAGGTCACATGTTGGACAAGAACATGTGCAGGAGGGTTGTTCCCTGCCCCATCACTGTCATTAAAGCCTTGTGACTTTGGGTGAGTCCCTTAATGGTTTGGATGCCTGTTCTCAATAAAAACAGGGGGTGAGCTAGCTAGTCTGTGCCAGCTCTAACTTTCTATACTCAGCTCACACACTACAGGATCTGGTAACATTAGGAACGAGAAGAAAGGTGGACATTTGTACTTTAGCATGACAACAGAAGTACCACGTCACTTAATTTGATTATTATTCTGTGTGCTGATGGGCTCCAGGACTCCCTTTTTCTTTAAATGTGAACTGCATGTAAAATACAATGCTGTACACTTGACAGTTTGTTAGGGCACTAGATCTCTTAAGTGTTCTTACCACCAAAAAACAAAATCCAAGCACATTCACACACACATTCACACACACACACACACACACACAACACCAGGCAGCTTTTGAAGGTGAATATGTTTGTTACCTTGAATGTGGTGATGGTATCACAGATATATATACATAGATCCAAACTCATCAGACTGTGTATATTGAACATGCAGGGGTTTTTTTATTTTTATTTTCAATCCTACCTTAATAAAGCTAGTAAGAAAAAAAGAGAGCAACGAACTGTACACATTTTGAAAAACATAGACATTGGATTATTTCAAATGCCAAAGAGAGTTTTCCATTCCTTTAAGAATATACTTGTGTTCTTAAAGATCATGATTAAATATTTGGGAGAACTCGTGGAGCAGAAGCAGTTTTTAAACTGTGACTGCATGGTTGCAGTGCTGGCCCATGGGGGTTTCTGCAGCAGGAGATGTCTGCTCTGACCCCCGGGGTAGCCCACAGCCACATGGAGCCCAGGAAAGAAATGTGACTAGTGCAGCCAAGAAACTGTATTTTTAATTTTATTTGATTTAAAGAGTAAGCAATCTCATTGGACATTTCCTTCAATAAAGCTCCTGGTGATTAATTGGATTAACAGATTTGTAAAGGGCTGGAGATTGGCCCCTTCCTTAATTTCTCATCAAGGTTTAAAGATGAGGTCTTTGGGCCTCCCTGGTGGTGCAAGGGGTTAAGCACTACACTATGAAGCAATCCGCAGCCTCTGCAGCATAAGTTCCATCCCCGGCCTGCCAGGGAGCACCCAACATGTCGCAGCAGACCTCTCCTGACGCTCCCGCTGCTCCCCTCAGCAGTGTACTTCGGTCAATCTGCCTGTTCTGTTCCCCACTGTTTCTGGTGAATCCTCTCACCCACCGCATCTCTGGCCTGTACCCCCACTCTGGTATGCATAAATAAATAAATATTTAAAAAAAAATAAAGATGAGGCCTTTGCTATGACTTGTGTAGGTCCAGGACTGCCTGATCATTTCTCACTCAGAGCTGCTAAAAAGGGACATTTGGGGCCAAGTGATTCAGAGGTTGCCTCTGAACCAGAGTGTTCTATTTAAGATTCTGGGGACCTCCTCAGGAAAGGAAACTGAACCTCTTTTTAGGAAGATGCCATAAAGAAGCCATTGTTGAAATAGTAGACTTAGCTACCTTCTTGGTTTTCCTTTCAGGAGCTGATTGATGTTGACAGTGAAGTGGTGTTTGAATTAGCCTCCTATATTTTACAGGTGAGTGGTCTCCACCCGCCCCCCACCGTTTCCCAGAGCCATACTCAGAAGAGGACTAAGACTTAGCACGCATGATCAGCTACTCCATCCCACAGTTCTGTGTCTTCTGAATTATTTTTAGCACATAGGAAAAGTGTTTGCAAGGAAACAACATCAGAGCAGTAAATGGGAACTTCTGGTGTTCCAGAATTTTAAGACAATATATTACTACAGAGGACACATGTGTGTAACCTGATCCTGGGGAAAACTGAGGTCATTTGCTGACCCCATTTTCTTCGGGTTTGGCACTCTCCCGTTATCTGGGGAAAGCCAAGTAATTAGCAGGAAGTCATTGCCAAGAAAGACAAAGAAAAAACCTTTAGCTTATGGGAAAACAAGTACTACCAAATATTAGCAATATTGGCAGTATGAACTGAAGTGATATCATTATTCTGCCAACAAAGATTTATTGCTCAGCTACTGTGTGTAAGGCATTATACCAGTTTCACTAAAAGTCCCATGGTTCCTGCCTCCAGAGTCTTTAGTATATAATCAGAAGAAAAGAAGAAAACAAAAAGTAACTCAATAGACTTAAGTAACTTAATAGACAGTTGTACTCAAATGCACATTCAGATTCAGATTCTTTAAACTAGAAAAAGTTAGAGTAAGGCCAATTGTTATTATGAATCATTTTCTTTATATATATTCTGTACTTTAGTGTCTTGTATTCAAGTGGCAAATGTATGCATCCTTTTTGAATTATACTCTTATAGTCGATGGGAAACTGAATTTAGCTTGCAGAGGAGTTATCAGTATAGGAAGTATTTAAATGTCTGTCACATGGGGTTGGACTGTTTCACTGATGTTGGACTTTTTTCTTCTACAGGAGGCAAAAGGGGATTTTTCTAGGTGAGTTTATCAGTTGTTTTGTCTAAAAATGTATTTGGTTGCATCTCTGGAAAAAAAAAAAAACAATTCTGTCTGCCCTTTGTGGGAAAACAATGTTACATGTTAATAATGAGTTCCTATTCTCAACTTGTCAAGTGAAACAGATACTTCAGGCAGGGAAAAACAATAGAATAGCAAAGAGGATAACCTGTGCTAAATGAAAAGCCTAGAGGTTTCTAGAAGGCTGAGCTGGGATCCCAGTGGTACAGGTTGCCACTGTATTGAGGTGTGTCCGATTGCCCAGGTGAGTTGTGAATCACCAGTGTGGTGTGAATCTGGATGCAGGCAACCAGGCAGTTCTAACACAGAGGTGGACATCTTTTTCCTTCACATTTTAGTTCCAAACATCAAGGGACAAAATGCCATCCCAGAGGGAGATTCCTTCATGAAAGTGTTACAGCACTAATTTCCCACTGGTCCTTTCCTTTCCTTTTCTGAATCTTGTGTTGGAGAGAATGCAGACAGGTGTAACCACTGGAATCCAGTGACTGCTTTAATGACTGATGAGTGGGCTTCTGCCTTGTCATTCATTTCACTCAGCACAGCCTGTTGGCAGCACGGCTGAGTTCCCTCTCATTTTCACAGGGTCATTCCTGGAGATTCACAGGCCGAAGGGTGGTAGCCATCAACTCTCAGGACTGGCTGCTCAAGTCACACCTTATTCCTGGGATTCTGTTTTACGCCTTTTCCCTGAGAAAGACTGACTAGTGCCTTCTTGAGAATCTAGGGCTAGAGGCAAAAAAGAGCAAATCACATGTATAGGAAGACAGTGTTGGAAATTAGAAAAATTGGTATTAAAAAGAAACATCAATTCTACCTCCATGCCATCAAAGAACATGGATGTTTTTCATGCTCTGAAGGATTTGATCTGGAAGTGCCATGTGAGTGATTCCAGTTGGTGGCCTACCTCTGCTTGTCTAGCACTGTCAAGTTCATGAATTGACTGATTTTTCAGGTCTTCATTGCTTCCTTTTTTTGCAGTCCCCATGCGTTTATAAGGCTTCCTAACAAAGCCTGGGGTATATGTTCTCACTCAGATATCTCAGCAAAAGCAAACGGTTATTTTACAATCTAAAACAACAGTAGGCACACATTTTCTCTCAAGGGCCAGAAATTAAGCATCTCAGGTTTTGTAGGCCACACAGTGTCTATTGCAGCCACTCAGCTCTCCCTCCCAGCCCCACAGGCCATAGGGGAATGAATCAGAGTGGCCATGTCCCAGTAAAACTTGATCAGCTCTGAAACATGAATTTATGTAAAATTTCATGTATCACAAAACATTCTTCTCTTGAGTTTTTTTCAAGAGAAAATTATTAAAACAGTAAAAATTAAAAATTTTTCATTTTAAAATGTGAAAGCCATTTTTAGATCACGGGCCAGAGAAACATACAGAAGGCCAGGTCCAGCCAGTAAGTCCTAGTTTGCTGACCATTGATTCTAAGATATAGTCCCTTCAGCACGGTTTGAATATTTGCATGAAGAACCGTCAGCTTTTTTTTTATTTGGGTTTCCCAAGTTGTTGATATAAAGCAGAAGTAGATAATTGGCATTTTTTGACTCGGGCTTTTTTTAACAGAAACTTAGCAGAAGGCCTTGAACACCAGGTCACTGGCAACTCTTCAGTGACTATTGAATGAAACATTCTCAGGCTGTAGAAATACTTTGTTACATGGTTTTTGGTAACTTTTTTTTATGTTCTTCATGTGGCCTTGGACTTGGGGTTTTGATAAATGCTGGCACAATGTCTGCTTACAAAGATTTCTGAAGTCCTGGGAGAGTGGTTTAACAACCACAGATCCAGTGGATTCTATTGTCAAGTCTATATTTTCTGAAGAGATTTCTTTCCCCATTTTCTTTCACCAGCTCTGATTCTGCTATAAATATTATTTATTTTTGAGAGGACCCTGACAAGATGGAATGTGAACTGTGGACAGCATAATCTTGCCCCCGCAGATCATGGGAATGTGTGGCCACTGGAATTGCAGGGAGGAGAAAGAGCAGGCCTAGCCTGGCAGTAATTCACAGTCCCCTAATGAGCCTGTGGAATGCCTGCCTGTTGGCCTCACAGAAACAAAGAATCCTGGTTGAGCTTCATTTGTCAAAGTGCTGCCTAGCAGTTTGTTTGTAACAGCAGCTGTCTGGAGAGAGAAATAGCTGTCAGGGGAAGGAGAGGTCAGACACCTTAGCCAAAAGGTCAGTTTATCTCCCAGCATAAAACTCACATCATGGAAGGTGGAGGTGATCTATGACTTCAGGTTCCCATTTTCTGCTGCAAGCCTGTGGCCAGTGGGCTTGAGTGGCCTAGAGTTTATTGGGATAATAGCAGTAATTATAAATTCCTTGTTTGTGTCTCTTCCCATTTATATTGGGGAATATCCCAAAACCTTAAAGTGGACCACATTTAGTTTGGTGGCTGAACATTAGGCATTTTTGATGTTTCATTTTCATAATTTAGTGTTATTAAAAGTTATTTTTTACTGTATTAATAATGAATGCATTACTGTACAACCTTGGCTGTATTTAACAGAAAGGCTTTGACTTGTATATATGTAAGTCAGATACACATATATTATATGCTGATACAATACATTTTCTTGAACATTAATAAAATGTAAGCTCAAAGCATATAGAACGCTGGGGAAGGAACCTGTGTAACACACGTCCTGGGCTTAATTCTAAGATATTTTAGATGCTAGAAGATCAAAGATCCTTTTAAATTAATGGTTGCACACAAAAGGCAAAGTAACTCTTTCATAGCCTGAGGGTCCTGAATCTATAACTTCCTAAAAGGCTATTTTCCCCAGAATGTTACTATCCTATCAATGTACATTTTAATGAATATATACAAATTACAGTTATGTGGCATGAGTATTTATAAATCTACAATTTCTGGGAGAAAATTCCTTTAAGTACAAAAGAAAAGGGTTATTTTTATAAAAGGGAGAAGTCAAAAGTGCTGATAGACTTTAGTAAAAAGAGAACTATAAAGAACCACCCAGAATCATAAGTTTCTCATGAAACTTGCAGACTGTTCTGTTTTTTCTTGGGGCTCTCATTTTTCTCAGCAACTCCCTGGAAGTTCATTCTTACACAACTCCCTATTCTTTCCACTTAATGGAAATGCTTACTTTCTTGTCTTATTGAACTTTACAATGACATGTTGGGTTCATATGGGGGTGGTGATTGAGGCATTGATAGATAAGAAGTATTATCCATGATAGGAAGAAATATATGTCACACACATTTATATTCTAGCATATGCTGAACAAATTAGTAAGATATCATTCAAAGTCGAGGAAATAGTCTTATCTAAAGATAATATTTTTTCATTCAAATTATTTTCCTTAGCACAGCATGGAGTTGTCCTGTTTCCTTTCCTGATGTGTTATATGTATGTAAAAAAAAATGTTCATGGACAATCAGGAAATCAGCACAGTTGACATTTTTGTTTGAAAACAATTGAGTAGCCTAAGAATTATTGACTATGGCAGTTAGATAAATATTTGGTTGAGAAGAGTCAATGCAGTTTAAAAACAAGAATTCTCAGTTGATTATCACTGGTAAACATTAGTCAGCTAACACACATTTTTTTTTTTTTAAATATTAAATTTTATTTTTATATTCCCCCATACAATTGCAAACGCCCCATTCTGACCCCAATCCTTCCCCTCCCGCCCCCCACCCCCCAAAAAGTGTCTCTGGTTCATAGTTTTTTGTTGATTTTGATTTTCACTTTCTTATATTCATTTTCCTGGTCCCTTATTTAAGTTTTCTAGATTCCTGCTATGAGTGAGACCATCCGGTATTTTTCTTTTTCTTTTTGGCTTATTTCGCTGAGCATGATCCCTTCCAGTGCCATCCATGTTGCTGCAAATTGCATGTGTTTATCTTTTTTGAATGCTGAGTAATATTCCATGGTATATATGTACCACATCTTCTTGATCCAGTCATCTATTTTTGGGCTTTTGGGTTGTTTCCAAAGCTTAGCTATTGTAAATAGTGCTGCTATAAACATAGGAGTGCAGGTGCTCTTTGGAATTGATGTTTCTGTGTCCTTTGGGTAAATACCTAGGAGTGGAATTGCTGGATCATATGGAAGCTCTATGTTTAGTAGGTCCAGAAATCTCCACACAGCTCTCCATAGTGGTTGGACCAGTTTGCACTCCCACCAACAGTGCACAAGAGTTCCTTTTTCTCCACATCCTCGCCAACATTTGTTGTTGCTAGTTTTTTTAATATGTGCCATTCTCACTGGTGTGAGATGGTATCTCATGGTAGTTTTGATTTGCATTTCCCTGATTACAAGTGATGTTGAACATTTTTTCATATGTCTGTTGGCCATTTGCATTTCCTCTTCAGAGAAGTTTCTTTTTAGCTCTTCTGCCCATTTTTTGACTGGATTATATTCTTTGTTGTTGCTGAGTCTCATCAGCTCTTTGCAGATTTTTGTGATCAGTCCTTTATCATTAGTGTTGGGTGCAAAAATGTTCTCCCAGTTGGTGGGGTTTCTCTTTGTTTTTGTTATTGTCTCTTTTGCTGTGCAGAAGCTCTTTAATTTGATGTAGTCCCAGCTGTTTATCTTTCTCTTCACTATCACTGCTTTGGGTGATGTGTCTGTAAAGATGTCTTTGATGTGCAAATCCCGTAGTCTAACACACATTTTTTGTGATTTATACACCTTTTATTCATCCCAAACGCTGCAATGGTTTGAGGGCAGGACACTGACATTTCTTATTTAAAAAGCTAAAAAACAAATCTTGGGTGATTGTTGAAAAGCAATATTCTCTTCTTTAAAAAAAGGTCAATTCAGGGAACACCTCATTTAATCAACTGAATAGGACATCTAAATTGTGTCATTACAGTCTAGGTCAATTTAATAAAAGACTTATTACTACCCTGTGCTAACTTACAAGAGGTATAATTTACAAGAATTTGATTTTAGGGGTTTTTTTTTTCCTAAT